GGCTGACAATGCAGTTGCGGGCCGCGCAGTTGCAGTTATGAATTGTACAACCAGGTTGGCCGGGCTGGAATGACCATAAATGCACTGGAGAGCGCCGGCCCTAGTGGCAGGCTATGGCAGTACGAGGACGTCCGGGAAATGGAAAGTCTAGGTCTATTAGTCTACGTAGAGTCTACTCCGGGTCCTGTCTGGGGGTGTGCCAGCTGCCAGATTAAAGCGGAGCTTAATTCCCAATGCGAAGAACTCTACAGTAGTCTGGGGAACGTGGGAACTTTAATTACATCAGTTTATATTCTCTTTGTCGTGACAGTCGGCACTAGAGTCCTTGCTCGATCGTGGACGATCACATTATTATATCGGAATTACGGTACAATGGCATGTTCTCTAAAACATTTGAATTGGGCTTTCATTGACCTTGTTTATAGGGCATTCCTGCAATGTTCCGTTGGTTGAGCAAGAAATATCCGAAGATTGGTGAGCAACCGGTGCTTAATTGGTATTTGCTTGGCTAACAGCTACCAGTATCATCTGTCGTTGAAGCTGAGGAGGAGGAAGTTCTCGACGCAGCTGGAGATCCTATTAAACTTCCCGTTGACATCACACAACCTAACCCCAATGGCGAGGAATTCGACAACTTATACCTGGATATGAACGGTATCGTGAGTGATAGTCGTAAATGTGTTTTTCGTGCTGACCATCCGTACGCACAAAGGTTCATCCTTGTACTCATCCTGAGGGCAAAGTACGTATACTTCGTTCTATAAATTTGCTGTACTCCCTGACTCGTCTTCCGCAGCCAGCTCCCGAAACGGAGGAGGAAATGATGCTTGAAATCTTCAAATACACTAACAGAGTGGTTAACATGGTGCGGCCGCGCAAACTTCTTTTCATGGCTATTGGTGCGCTTTACATTTATGTTGTCTCATACCACGAACTTACTGCAGAGTGCAATTAGACGGCGTTGCACCTCGTGCCAAGATGAATGAACAGCGAGGTAGACGGTTCAGGACTGCTCAAGTAGCAAAAGACAAGGCGGAAGCTCATAAACTTGCTGTCGCTGAGTGGGAAGGTACGTCGTTCTCAGAGCCAATCTATGCTGTATTTCTGACCGATTTCATCATTGCAGCTATGGGTAAAATTATTACTGATGACGAGAAAAACAAGGAATCTTGGGACTCTAACGCTATCACACCCGGTACGCCGTTTATGAACCTTTTAACAGCATCGTTACGGTACTGGGTTGTGGAGAAGATGAATACCGATCCAGGGTGGAAAGATGTACGTAGTGAACGTTTCCTAGGGATCCTTCTGACTCATTTCTGGTATAGCTGCAAGTCATTATCTCGGATGCAAGTGTGCCTGGAGAAGGAGAGCATAAGATTATGGACTTCATACGCAGACAACGCACAAATCCCGGTCATGAGCCTAATACTCGACACGTAATTTATGGTTTGGTGGGTTGATTTCCCGCTATCGTGTTCTATGTTATTGACCGTATGTTCAGGATGCTGATTTCATCATGCTCGCCCTCGCGACCCATGAACCATATTTCCGAGTACTTCGGGAAGATGTGTTTGCGCAGGACAAAGGTTCCGGGTGCCGAATGTGTGGACAAGAAGGTCACTATGCCGCTCAATGTACAGCACTGGAATCAGAGATTAAAAAGCCTCCTCCACCGGAAAAAAAACCGTTCATTTTCCTCGATATCGCCATTCTGCGCGAGTATCTGGAATCCGAGTTGAATGTGAACAATACGCCCTTCCCTTTTGATTTGGAACGGGCTATTGATGACTGGGTGTTACTGATATTCTTTGTCGGCAACGATTTCTTGCCGCATTTGCCGTCACTTGAGATTCGCGAAGGAGCGATTGATACTCTCTTGAGGATCTGGAAGATGGAGTTGCCCAGAATGGGTGGATATCTGACGAACCACGGTCAACTAGTGCTTAGTCGTGTGCAGATCATATTAGAGGGACTGGCACGACGAGAAGATGAGATTTTCCGTAAGCGACAAGAGAGTGAGTATCTATGATGTGATCCGTCAACGCCTTAGAGACTTACCATATCTCAGCTGAACAACGCCAAGACCAAGAGGCGAAACGTCATAAGATTGAAAAGTCTGAGTCTGGAGAGAACGCCATGGGCGATATTCAGTTCGCCGTTCCGTCTGCGAAACTTGGTCTGACTGCATCCACTACATCATTATCATCTCTTCCTCAACGTGCAAATAATGCTTTTGCTGCCAAGGCCGACTCTATTGGTCTCGGAGCGCCGCGTAATACTCAGTCTCTTGGAATCGCTCCAGTTGCAGCGCAAGCACTGGCTGGTTCGAATCGTGATGTAGTTGCCAATCGAGCTGCTATACGGATGGCAAATATGAGTGCTGCAGAGATGCTCAAGGCTGAGCTATCTGGACTCATTCCTGTGAAACAAAGTGCTTCTGCTCCTAAATCTGAGCCGGTTGTTCCTACTCCTCCACCCAAAACAGACGCTGAGCTTATGGATGACGGAGATATTCCGGGTTTTGGGAATGCTTCATCAGCACTTGAATTTGTTGATGATGGGGCTGGTGACATGGATGTCGAGCCCAATGATCCTGTAACTCTTCCAGCTGATGAGCCTGTAACACCTGTCGCTGGTGTCAAGCGGAAGCTTGAAGATATCGAGGGAGAGGATACCGATGAAGTGGCTGGCATTGATGAGGAGTCGTCTGAAGATAACGAAGATGCGTCTTACGCCCTGGTAGTCAGGGCTGATGGCTCAGTTGAGCAGGCCGATAACGTGAGGTATGAAAAAGCTATGAAATTATCCAATGCTGTGAATAACATTTCCTCAGATTGTATGAACCCGGGTATAAGAAGCGATACTATCAGCAAAAGTTTGGCATATCAGAAAATGATAATGATTTTCGTAGAAAGTGGGCGCTTTTGTTATCGATTTCTGCACAAACCTGGCTGACTCTGCTGTGCAAAGGCTAACAAAACACTATGTAGAAGGTATTGCGTGGGTTCTGCATTACTACTATCAAGGGGTGAGCTCCGTCCGCCGATTTTCCTTTATTTGCTGACTCGGTAATAGAACCCCTCATGGCAATGGTATTATCCATATCACTTTGCACCTTTCGCGTCGGACTTCGAAGGTTTGGAAAACATGCAGATCGACTTTACTCTCGGACAGCCATTCAAACCGTACGAGCAACTTATGGGTGTTTTCCCCCCTGCTAGGTACGTCCACATTAAGTGATAATTTTGCTACGTAGCTCACCAGTATCGTCAGTCGCAAGCACATACCTGAAGTCTTCCACGATCTCATGACAAATGAAGAATCTCCGATTCATGATTTCTACCCATCAACTTTCCAGATCGATATGAATGGGAAGAAGATGCCGTGGCAAGGTGTTGCTCTCTTGCCTTTCATAGACGAGAAAAGGTTATTAGATGCCATGGCCGAGCACTACCCTAAGCTCACTGAGGATGAAGCCCGAAGAAATAGCTGGGGTCAAACTGTCATATTTGTCGCTGATGAACATTCAACATATCCATTCTTCGAGGGATTGTATGGTAAGCGCAAGGAGAAAGAGGTATGCCGTCGATTCGACCAGAACCGGTTTTGTTACTGACTACAGTTACCTAGCCCCAACCCATGCCTACCAACCTGTCCAAGGGCATTAGCGGTGGTGTTCTACCAAACCCCGATTGTTTACCTGGCTCGACGTATTACTCCCCCTTGAGTTCCACGAACCTGCAAGATATTAAAAATGATCGTTCTCTCTCCGCGTTATACTTCTTCCCAAAGCAACTCTCTCCCCATCGATCGATGTTTCTTCCAGGGGTTATCAAACCTGCGAGACAGCTTACTAGCGAGGATCTAGCGAGGAGGGGCCGAGGACATGGCCGAGGGGGCAGTATGGATCGCGGCGGTCGCGGACGAGGTGGCTATCAGAACGGCTCTTACAACAACGGACATGGGTACGGCAGCACCCATGGCCAATCACAAACTCCGACGTCATATGTCTCCTCGTACACCACCACTCAGTCTCGAACACCGTACACTCAAGGGCCCCAGCAAGGATTCGGAGGCTATGGTTCCAATGGACAGCCACCAATTCAAAACTATGGTAATAACTATTCTGGTCAGTCGCGTGGTGGTCCACCCCCTCGAGGAGGTGCCCCTCCCTCGCGTGGAATTCTACCAAACCGCTGGTGATCCTCCCCGTGGCTGACCCTCCTCATGACGGTAGTTCCGGGTATGGAGGTTCTACGTCCTATGCTTAAATCGCTCTTCAACTGTATGGCCGTGGAGGCTACTCTGGTGGGTACGGTGGCAGCAGTGGAGGGTATGGTGGACAGGCGAACAGTGGTTACGGTGGCTACGGTGGCCAGACAAGCCGAGGTGGCTATGGTGGTTCAGGAGGACAAGACAACAGCGGCAGTTAGGTTATGGAAACCAGAATGGGGGACAGGCTCGTGGTGTCTATGGAGGTGGCTACAATGGAGGAGGTTACCAGAACCCTTCGAGGGGCCGAGGGCTGAGCGCTGAGGATTGTAGAGTAACTTATTTGGATACTACCTCGTTAATATTATTTTCCTTGGCAGATATTTTGTATTTTAGACCATCGATGTATGTACTCCCCTGCTTTCTTTCTGATTATACCAACAAGTGTTCCGTTTACCGTACCGCCCTCAGGCTGTGATATCAGTTTTTTGGATGTCACGGGAAACATTCGAATGACCAACGAATACTCCCTGATACTTAGTGAATGAAAATTTATCATCCAGTCCTTGAACGATGTACATGCTGGCCCATCAGTGATTGAAGTGCATTCTGGGTTCTGCCATGTAGTGAGAAACGCGATAAGGATGTCGTCTTACGCACTAGACGAATGTTCGAGTTGTATTTTGGACTGAGTAATAAAAACAGGCGTGACTCAAGTCTTGACAGCGGCGTGCGCCACAAAATTTGCAATTCAAGGGCGCTTCAGGTGCACAGCCTCAGTCCACCCTAGTCAAACCAAGTTCCAGTCCATACGTAGACTGCGAAGTGAACACGCCTACCTGCGCAAGAGGGGACCGATGGCCTGGTGCTTTTGTACTGCAAGTCACCAGTGGGCACAATATCTTCAACATGTTCGTCAGCTCATGCAGGACTATACTCGGGCTAAAAGTGATAAGTGATTGATCACCCTTGCCCAGCTGAGTTCGGAGACTTCAATCTTGAATTTCGTCGGAGGCTGACCTGGCCTGAAACGGATCCATGTTCTGTATTTAATTCTCAATGGTGAGTAGTCTACCTCCTTTCATCACTCCCCAGTCGATCATAGTGTCATGTCCATAACGGACGTTGCCCGCCGTCTTATCCTTACAGTGATCAGTCTTATTGCGTTTATGACATCCAAAATCCTCAGTTACGCCGTCGAGTGCCAGTGGAGGCGGGACGTCAGCCCTGGGAACGCTGTCGGGGTCAAGTCCTTGACAGAAACACAGTACAAGGCCAGCGATACTTATGAACTACTACACTTGTATTAAACTTTGACCATTCCTCGAACAGTTCGCCAATCTCATCAACCAAGGGGAATTTTACGAGAGGATCGTATTTTACCACTCATCGAAATGGCATGTGTACCAGAAAGGGCGATATACAGGATTTCTGACAGTCTTCCCGGTATGTCGTTGAACCTTTTGTCTTTCGTTGCACGTTTCTGAGACCTTCTTTTTTTACTTCTAGGCAAGTGAATCTCATTGCGTTGATCTATACGTGTCGAAGAGCCTGAGATTCTTCGGGAAAATTATTGGTGTTCTCGGCTTGGTATGCTCACGTCATTATGTTCCTTGGCGCACTACCACGATCTATGAGCAGCCGCGTTATCCACCGAGAGTGCCCGGAATGAGGCTAATCAAATATGCGCCTCTGTTTCCACGTTTGGCTTCCCAGCTGCCCTGGAGCTCTCGTCATCTTGAAAATGTTTCGAGCGCATGCAAAGACACCCTAAGGAGAAGAGAGTATGTCAAGGTACTTGCAAAAAGTATAATCAGGCGCAAAGTGAAAGAATCGCAAGTACGCCACGGTAGCATCAGTCCGTCATACCATCCGGTCCCAACTCCGAATAGCCAGAAAGCACACGACCTCCGCAAAGCTCTCGTGAAGACACTAGGAGCTAGCGCATTGAAGAGGGAGTCACTCGTGACCAAGGAGAAAGAAGCACCCCACACTCCGAAGGAAATCCGTTTGGAGCGTCGCATGCGTTTGGCCCTTGGAGAGAATCTATCGATCAAGAACCTTGCTTCCGCTGCTATTGCGAGAAAGGCGCCTGCATCTCCTCTGCCCGACCGTTCGCCATCTCGAATCCATTCTCTACAGCCGAAGACACGTTATCAGAACCAGAAGTCGAGTCGTCACAGTCTTCATGAGGCAGCGGCCGCCTCGTTCACACTGTTCGTGAACCTCGGCCCGGAATCGGAAGACGCTGTTCCAGGTTCCTATCACGCTGTAGTCTCTCTGTAAATGTCATATGCCTTCAAGCCTTGAGCTTATCTGCGAATGAACCTGCAAGTTGAACAAATGAATGAATTTTTATTTGGCCATCTACGCTCACATAAGCTCAGGTACTTCAGTACCTCGGTCCTCGATGCGTCGTTGAGGCTAATTGCCAAAGCCAGAAATAGCATTGATTCATCAGCCAAATCACGAGGACGACCAGGGCGTACCGCATCAGCCGATTTCGCAGTCCGCTACAAACCCCTAATCTCCGGCTTCAAAGCTCTGGCCAAGCTTCGTGGTGTGAGCACGCGAGCAGCCTTGAAACTATCTTATCGATTCCTTGTCAGTCGGCATTCATCCAAGCTGGTAGGGCATTCCAGACAAAATAGTACTACTTGTGGTTTTTTTAGCAGTGTACGAGATATTACACAATCATACTTAGTACGTACGTTTTAAATTTGTAATCGGACAGTCGTGTCAACAATTTTGATGGGGCTTACCAGTCACCTCCGGGTCCGTATAAGTATAGCCCATTATTTATATCAGTCAGCTTCGCCATCGATAGTTATTGTCGCACCTTATGGCGTCTTGTCGGGACGTTGAAGGATGGTGCATCGTATCAAAGCTTCGTGAACTTGATTTCACTCTTTGCTTTGAGGAAGGCGTCATTTTGACATCTCTTCTGGCTTTACTGCTACTGTCGGCAACATGCAGAATTTGGGCCTTGAGATATCTTCCGTCTCGTGATATCTCGCGGAAAAGTCGATGGATATTATGGGCGAAACTGGTGCGTTCCAATAGCTTTATGTGTCTACCTGGAACCAACTTGGTGGGCAGATTTTGTTGGGATTGGCCATTGTTGCGTCCTGCTTCAACCTCTTCATCGTATTGTCACTCAAGAGAACAGTATCGGTCGTGTGGCCTTACATCCTCGAACCACTCGCGCTGCTTGCGTCTTGGATACTCACTCGACTGAACCATCGTCGGACACGGTCATCATCAACCATCCTCTTACTATTTTGGCCTTGTTACACCGTCGGCCTCGCAATATGGACTAGATCGTTCGTGCAGGACGAAGTTCCGAAGGGACTTTTCATAGTTCTTTCGAAATGGGCTGTCGAACTTTTCTCTCTCCCGGCATACGCGCTGGAGTGTGTCTCTCCTGATGATTCGGTCCAGGATAATACAGAGAGCCCAATAGTCACGGCAAATGTATACAGTATCTGGTCATTTGCGTGGTTGACGCCATTGATGGAGAAAGGTTCGAAAGAGTTCATCACAGAAAACGACTTGCCTGCTTTGCTTCCCCGTGACGAGTCAGTGAATCTCGGAAACGATCTAGAGAGCGCTCTAGGAAAACAGTGAGTGCAATTTTGATAAAACGGGTTTGCTTTGTCCGACCAAGTTGCAGCTCGTCCGTATGGCTCGCATTGTTCCTGTCTTATGGTGGCCCGTATGCGGGTGCTGCATCCTTGAAAATCTTGCAGGATATTCTTGCATTCCTGCAACCTCAACTTCTCCGATGGCTCCTGGCATACATCTCGAACTATCAGAGCACTAAAGGCGCGGGTAACCTCCTTGTTGGTCCGAGCCCACTCGAGGGATATGTCGTTGCTATCATCATGTTTGTGGCATCTATGGCGCAGAGCGTTGTTCTCCACCAGGTAACCCGGCCAATGTGATCGTGTTCACGACACTGACCAATACAAACAGTACTTCCAAATCTGTTTCGAGACAGGCATGCGTGTTCGCGCGGGCTTGGTGACTGCTATCTACAAAAAGTCTCTCGTGCTTTCTAGCGATGAGCGAGGGAGTCGGGCATCTGGAGATATTGTCAACTTGATGTCCGTCGATGCGAGTAGACTACAGGACCTATGCACCTATGGTCTGATTGCGATCTCTGGACCATTCCAGGTAAGGCAGATTATACTCTATAATAACCAGGCTCACACTATCGTCAGATTACACTGGCTTTTGTATCATTGTACAACCTTCTCGGATGGTCAGCTTTTGTCGGAGTTGCGATCATGATCATATCTATTCCGCTAAATACGTCAATTGCACGGATGCTAAAGAAGATGCAGGAGCAACAAATGAAGAACCGCGATCGCCGAACGAGGCTAATGAGTGAGCTTCTGGCCAATATTAAAAGGTACGTCAGCCTCGTGTACGCAGAGAATTTCATCAACGATCGTTATTCCAGCATCAAGCTTTATGCATGGGAATATGCATTCATCCGCCGCGTTCTGCATGTGCGCAATGATTTGGAGCTGAAGATGTTGAAGAAAATTGGTATCGTAACGGTAAGCATTGGTTTCAAGACAGAGTAGCCCGTATTCATCCTTGCGCATCTATCAGGCTCTCAATACGACGCTTTGGGGAGGCATTCCTTGTGTGTCCCCCTACCTTTGACTTGTTGCTTACAACTAACAAACAAATCTCTCAGTAATCGTGGCGTTTAGTTCTTTTGCCACCGCATCTGTGTTCTCGTCGCGACCACTCACGGCTGACGTCATCTTCCCTGCGATCTCACTGTTTATGCTTCTCCAGTTCCCACTTGCTATGGTGAGTGATAATTGCATCGCAACTTCAACAATCGTTGACTGTGTCACAGTTTAGTCAAGTCACGTCGAATATCATCGAGGCACTTGTTTCCGTCAAACGTCTGTCAGGTTTCCTGCACGCTGAGGAGCTGCAACAAAATGCCCTCGTGAAGGTGCAGAAAAGCAGTCTGAACATTGGTGACGAGGTCGGCAATTCTCTAACTGCTCATGATCGTTTTCACATTTGTGACAGGTCCTTTCAATCAAAGGTGGCGAGTTCCAGTGGAACAAACAAGATATTTCAGCTGCTCTGGAAGATATAAACTTGACGGTGCATAAGGGGGAACTAGTGGGTGTACTTGGTCGTGTGGGCAGCGGGAAGAGTAGCTTGTTGTCAGCGATTATCGGGGACATGCGAAAGACAGAGGGTGAGGTGGCTTTGTTCGGCAATGTAGCTTATGCCGCTCAGAATCCTTGGTGCGTCGCATATGCGGCATTTTCTAGCATGTTCACTCACAAGCGAATAGGATTCTTTCTGCGTCGGTTAGAGAAAATATACTTTTCTCACACGAGTACGATGAGGTGTTCTATAACCTTGTTATCGAAGGTGTGTACATGATTAATTGTGTTAGATTGGACTGACCCTTTTCTACAGCTTGTGCTTTGAAGCCCGACTTAGAGCTTCTCCCACAGGGTGATCTGACGGAGGTCGGCGAAAAGGGTATGTTTCTGACTATCCCTTTGGCGACCCAATAATGTTTATGGTGTCCGTTCTATAGGCATTACTGTAAGTACTTCGGGATAGTAACATCAGCCAAAGGCAAATGATCTCTCAGCTCAGCGGTGGCCAACGTGCTCGTGTCGCGCTTGCTCGTGCGATCTATGCTCGTGCAGATCTGTAAGTATCTTCTGTTCACACATAGTATGGTGCTGACGCATGCGTCCTCCAGGGTTCTCCTTGATGATGTTTTAGCTGCTGTCGATTCCCATGTTGCCCGACATGTCTTTGGTGAATAAGAGCATTCGGTCTCAGACTGACTTCTTTCTAATGATACCATGTAACAGATCATGTCATCGGTCCTCAAGGCTTACTCGCAACCAAAGCGCGTGTTCTTGTCACTAACAGCATCGCGTACCTCAAGTATTTCGATCAACTTGTTTACCTGCGCCGCGGTATTATCTTGGAGAGTGGCTCATACGATGAGTTGATGTTGAATCCGGATAGTGAAGTGCGCAAGCTTGTGTGCGTGTATTTCGATTCATGATGTTCGACGCAATCTAATTTAGTTATGACAGTCACGGTCATGCCACGAGCGGTTCCAACTCTGGAATGACCACACCTGGACGGTCCAGCGGCATGACCACTCCCACTACAAGCGAGGGAGACATGCAAGCCACCCTCGTTGGAGGACTTGAATCTGTATCAGAGAAGGTATCGCGTAGAGAAAGTTTCACAAAAGCTGTCCTCGCTACGCCGCCCAAGCTGCGCGACGCGTCTTCCGATGGTATCACGAAAGAGCACAGTGAACAGGGCCGCGTCAAGATGGAAGTGTACTCGCAGTACCTCCGAGCAGCATCGAAAAAAGGATTCCTGTTCTTTGTACTTGCTACGGTTCTGCAGCAGATGGTATCTGTCATATCGACCGTAATGCTCAGGCTCTGGGGCGAGCATAACCGCGAGATGGGTGCCAACGCGGGATTGACCGACAAGTATTTCCTGGGATATGGTTTGTCCAATTTGATAGCCATTTTCTTAGGCGCATGTGCTGCGCTTCTGATTTGGGTTTTCTGCTCGCTTCGGAGCTCAAAGCACCTTCATGATTCGGTAAGTATTGCGTTCCAAGTATAGATGAAGTGTTTTTCATTTATTTTTCAGATGCTGCATTCGGTCATGCGTGCGCCCCTCAGCTTTTTTGAGACAACGCCAACGGGACGGTGCGTCAGATCACTAAACTGTGGAATGATTTCTGAGTTCGAACAATCTCTTGTTGCAGTATCTTGAACTTGTTTTCTCGTGATACATATGTTGTCGATCAAATCCTGGCGCGAGTGATCCAAAATATGATACGCACAAGCGCAGTCTGCGCTTCTATTTTATTGGTCATCGGGTTCAGCTTCCCGCCCTTCTTGATCGCCGTCGTTCCTCTGGCATGGTTCTACTACAAGATCACCGTGTATGAATGGCTTTGTACTTCTTCCAGAATGATCCTGATATCATCAATAGGTATTATCTCGCGACTTCACGCGAACTCAAGCGTCTGGATGCGGTGTCCCGCTCGCCTATCTTTGCGTGGTTCTCGGAATCCTTGGCTGGAATTTCCACTATCCGGGCTTATGACCAACAAGCCGTTTTCATTGCGAACAATGCTCGCCGCATTGATCGCAACCAGTTGTGCTACCTTCCTAGTACTTCCGTCAACCGATGGCTTGCAGTAAGATTGGAGTTTGTTGGAGCAGTGATTATCTTCGTCACGGCTGTCTTGGCTGTCTCTGCCGTTATGACCAGCAACGTTGATGCAGGATTGGTCGGTCTAGTTCTGTCATATGCTTTGAACACAACAGGTTCACTGGTGAGTGGCTTTCTCTCTGTCCCGAGGTGTTGGTAACTAAATGACCGCAGAACTGGTTTGTCCGCTCCGCAAGTGAAGTAGAACAGAATGTGGTCAGCGTCGAGCGTATCGTCCACTACGCCAAAGACCTTGAACCAGAAGCTCCTTATGAGATCCCTGAGAATAAGCCCACCTCTGAGTGGCCCACAGCTGGGGAAGTTGAATTCCGGTGAGTTCGTATCACTGTATGCACGAAATTGTATTGAACTTGTTTGATTCAGGGACTACTCAGCACGGTATCGGCCCGGGCTTGATCTAGTCCTCAAGGATATTTCCATGACCATAGTCAGTCATTCCGCCAGGTTTCTCGCATATGTACGCTGACTCGAGATGTTCTAGAAACCGAAAGAGAACATCGGAATATGTGGCCGGACTGGGGCAGGGAAATCATCGGTAAGATATTTCCTTTTTTTTGTTGGACTGTGACGATACTTTTGCAGCTTCTTCTTACCCTCTTCCGGATCATCGAGCCTGCATCTGGAGCTATTTTCATTGACGAAGTAGACATTACCAAACTTGGCCTACATGACTGTGCGTATTCTTTGAGTTGTCCGTTTGGACACTCCTTAATCAAACCAACAATAGTGCGGTCCGCGATATCCATTGTTCCTCAAAACCCAGATTTGTTTGAGGGCACATTACGAGAGAACATTGACCCTGTTGGCGAGCATCAGGATGTTGATATATGGACTGCTTTGGAACATGTCCGTCTTTGAAATATGTTTGCACTTCTGATGCTTACCAACGACGCTTCTATAGGCCCATCTGAAGGCATATGTCGATTCACTCCCTGGGGGACTAGATGCTCCTGTTCAGGAGGCCGGATCATCGCTTTCAGCAGGTCAGAGACAACTCTTGTGTTTCGCGAGGGCGCTCTTGCGCAAGGTACGAGCGTCTCTTTTGGCTGATTGTAAGTTTTCATGACCGACACTCCCTAGACTAAAGTGCTCGTCCTCGACGAAGGTATGTATGAGCGGTATCTTGTTCCTCTACAAGGCTAATATGCATGATTCCCTAGCAACATCTGCAGTTGATCTAGATACCGACCGAGCGATTCAAGAAATCATCCGGGGTCCAATCTTCCGTGATGTGACCATTCTAACTATTGCGTATGTGACATGTCCGACATCATCGATGATTAGTACCAATCATGATTCTATAGGCACCGCTTGAACACGATCATGGAGTCTGATAGGATTCTGGTTCTAGATGCTGGAAGGGTAAGCATACTCCAAGGACATTCATTCATAATTTGTTGTTGATTGGCCAATTTAGATTGCAGAATTTGATACTCCAAAGAAGCTGCTGGAGAACAAGAGTTCTATCTTCCGTTCTATGGCGATGGAGGCTGGCCTAGTTCAGGTCCAGCTTGATGATGCAGAAGTGAACGCACAGGAGTGAATATACCTAATCATGCACAACATTTCTTCAAGGGTCTTGTTCAGAAATATGACGTTATAGCTATGTAGATATTGCCATGTTCTTACTCTGAATCTTATGTTTCGCTGTCAGCTATTCAATATTCAATTGTGAGACTCGATAATGCAGTTGGGGTGCCCCGATACTCGCCTTGCGATGTACCGCAGAAGCATCAGATGAAACCTGGGCGTCTTTGCTACTACCCAATGCCTGGGAAGAAATGGAAGAGGTTGAAAGTGGAAAAGTTATTTCTGCCACTGCCAATAGTGAAATCGGCATGCGCTATGAGAGAGAAAGAGTAGAAGTTCGAGGCACATAGTAAAGTCACAATCTTCTATTAGTAATTTCCTTCAATGGCAGTGCAGCGCATGCATGTATATGTACTGCGGAACGAACAACATCTTCCGAAACCGGAGTGTGGACCTTCACCATCATCGCTTCACCTCGTACTTTTCCCAGCCAACTTCTTCCAGCTTCTCAACCTTTGCGATAACTTCGCTCTCTAATCCTCTTAGATACGCATCAATGTCTGCGAACAAGTGAGGTATACCAGCCCCGAGAATCCGCACAGCTAGCAATCCAGCATTCATACCGCCGTTAATTGCAACCGTCGCTACAGGTATACCTCGCTGTGGTGACACTCAGACGTCAACGAATCACATAAAGACTCAAAGACCCTTACTGGCATTTGCACGATACTATGCAACGAATCAACACCATCAAGAGAGCTTCCTTTCACAGGAACTCCAATGACAGGAAGCGCAGTCATGGCAGCAACCATGCCAGGAAGATGTGCTGCACCACCTGCTCCAGCAATGATCGTCCTCAAACCCCTTGAGCTCGCTGACCTTGCGTATTCGACGAGGCGATCTGGTGTGCGATGTGCAGAGACAATGGTGAGTTCATAGGGAATTTTGAACCGATCCAGAATACGAGCAGCCGGCAACATTACGGGAAGGTCGGAATCGGAGCCCATGATCACACCAACGAGCGGGTATTTGTGGGAAAAGCCGCTGCCTTGTGCGGGGGTTTCTGGGGTGTATAGAGCAAGTTCTTCTTCGGTACTCCCTGACGGCAATGCCTTTAACAGTGGTCGCAGGCGAGAGCGGACCTCTGAATCTGAGTTGCCCACGACGGTGACGTGTCCCATTTTACGTCCTTTGCGACACTCCGATTTGCCATACAGATGGACCGCACAACCGTCTATCTTGATACACTCAGATGCGAAATTCGTGACTTCTGCCATGTTGGATGAAGCGCCAATGATATTCAGCATTGCAGCTGAAGACACCTTTAGTGACGTGGAACCAAGCGGGAGTGATAGTATGGCGCGCAGATGATTTTCGTACTGGGAGGTTTCGCAAGCCTCTATGGTATAATGTCCAGAATTATGTGGCCGAGGGGCAATTTCGTTGATATAGATAGAGCCTGACAGAATCCGCAGGTTAGACTGGTTCGCACAATCCAGGAGAAACTATCTTCTACCGTCTTCCATGAGAAACATTTCGACTCCAAAAACACCAGCGCCCTGGAAGGTCTTGACTGCGGCTTCGGCTATGCTCTGTGCGCGAATTGCAATATGTGGATCGCGACTCCGCAAGGGGGCAAAAACCAAATGACAAATGTTGTCTTTGTGAACGGTCTCCACAGCGGGATATGAGCGAACCTCCCCTGTTGTGGAGCGCACTACCATGACAGCGATCTCCTTCACGAATGGCACCCACTTCTCGGCATACAAGGGACGATTCCCGAGGGCAGAGATAGCTTCTTCCGCTTGAGCAATATCCCGAACAACAAAATTTCCCCGCCCATCATACGCCAACGTGCGACTTTTGAGCATGAATGGCAAACCGAATTTTTCCGCGGTTTGCTGTATTGATGTGACATTGGATTCGATACAGAGAAACTCTGACACAGGACATTGGTGACTCTGGAGGTGCTGTTTCTGTATCAATTTGTCTTGAATAGTCTTCACCGTAGACGGACTGGGATGAATGACAGCTCCGGGCACTGACTGGATCTCTTCAAGTATGTTTGTATCGACGTGCTCAATCTCAACAGTTAGGATGTCGACCTTGCTGGCCAGCGCCTTGATTTTTTCTGGGTCTACGAAAGATCCATCGATGTGAGCAAGATGGGGAGATCGCGGGGACACAATCTGCTTTGCTGGACTATTTTCTCCGACGTCAAGGAATACTATATTGACGTTGAGCAGAGCCGCCGAAGCGGCTAGCATTCGCCCGAGCTGACCTCCGCCTAGAACAAGCAAGTCAGAGGAAACGATAAAAAGCTAGAGACATAGTCTGATAGATATCATGAGCGCTTAAATCGAGAAAATTCAACGCTGTGAGCTCACGCGCACCAAGAACCCCGACGACCTTGTCACTCATCGTGTTTAAAGTCGATTCGCGTAGATCGTGCGCGTAAAGAAGTGAAAGATCTGCAAAGATATGATCAATATTATGTAATCGCAACTTTGTAAGTAGTACGCTGAAATTTATTGATCTTTCTCAAGCTCGACAGATGGGCCCACCAGCACCAAAACCTGCTGCTCGCAGGAGGAACAGGAAACGTAAAAGACGCGCCGTATCTTCCGGTTCTTCCTCTTCGTCTGATGATTCATCTTCGGATGAATCCACGCAATCCACATCTCAAAAGCCGGTACCTCTCCCAACCAAACAACCTGAATCCGACACGAGTTCGTCGTCTGAATCTACATCCTCAGATAGCGACTCCGAGTCAGATGATGATGACGCTCGTACATCCATGGTAAAAGAACAAATGCAGACCGACGGTCTGAAAGTTCCTAAACAAAAAGACGTCCCTCCACAAAGGTCACCTTCACCCTCCCTGCCCAGTGCTGAAATACCATCTTTTCTACCGCCAAATCCGTCTGCGGATTACGAGGCGCGTGAAAAAGCCATGAAAGATAAATTCAGGAAGTTCTGGATGTCATCCCTTGCAGAAGGATTCAAGGAAGACCTTGAGGAAATACGGAAGGTTAGCAGATGATTATTTCAGACATGAGTCAATCATCATGAATGACTTTTACAGGAGCCAAATTTGGGACCCTCCAAGCTAGCACTGCTTATTGATTCGCTCGCAGCTGGGGCAGATATTTTTACGTCATCTGCGTCCGCCAGCGGGACAGACATGAATGAAGTAGATGTTGTCATGGGTGAATGATACAGAGTTCGTGGTTATCCAATCCTCTTTTCTGCATGTAACCATGAACTGCACAGTCCATTAGTGGTGTAAGACCACTGACGCGTGCTATGGGTCATTCGGGGTTCTATCGCGGCAAACATATTGAATGATCTTGACACGTTCCGCATGTTAGAGCCTCCCGGTAAATTTGGGACACCGTCAATATTGCAAGTATCCCGTCTGCATCTCGAACAGAGACATCAGATGTAGTCCGTTATACATAGACGACGAGGAGCTTTTGCAGTTAGTAATATCTTAGGGAGCGAGGCACCCCGACTTTGTTACGATCTATAGGTTGATGCACGTACAATGTGCGATACCCATTGATAAAGACGAGTCCGAAATTTAAATATCAGTCCACAAGTTTTTTTTTCGGTTGCTATTCCGCTCATGTTCCCGTCATTCGACTTGCTAGAAGACTCAAGATGGAAGAGTCAATACATGCAGCTGCAATGAAATCATAAATATTAAATCGCAAATATATACACCAACAGCTAACAGATTGCATCAATAATTAACGAGCGCTAATGACGTATTGAAGGTATTCATCTAATGTCTATCCAAGTGTATCAGCACGAAACATTTTGTTCGATCAGCGACAAATCTCCTACCTTATCCATTTCATCAAGTTGTTGGAAAGCACCCGCGTATATCTCTTGAATATCTGGGTGTAGAGTCGTCATATCTATTGGTTTTCCAAATAGTGACTCGTCCACTGGGTGTACAGAGGTTTGAGGCACCCTGGGTGCTGCACTAGCAATTTCAATGATCGCCATCATATGCGAGAGACCGAAGTCATCTTTGGGAATGTACGGTCGCTTGGGAATTTGCGGTTTGGGGGTGGTGTTGATACGCGGCGTTTCAGGGGGGCTGATGAGCTGTCCAGTGGGGGTGGTATACATCGATACTTCTGACATGACAGAAGCGATCGACGATTGACGAATAGGGCGAGGAGCATTTGTTCCTTGTTTCGATGACGGGGTAGTAGATCGGGTGCGGCTGTGTCGGCCATCTGCTGCAGTAGGCGTCGGTGTCCGAGATATGTCAGACACTGGTGATGCAACGCGTCGAGCTCCAGTGACACTACTCGCAAGCGGTGTGGGAGTCCTGCCGTCAGAACCAGAAGGGGGAGTCACGGCGTCATCGACGGAATATTCTGAGGGTGCAGAGCCAGAACCACCAGAGGGAAGACCGTCAGACTGACTCGAAGCCGCAACGACATATTGAGCGTGAAGTCGACCATCTTTGATTTTGTTCAGTACACGATCAATCTTCTCGTTCATGCCTTCTTTATTGCGCCCGAGGACGCCTTCTAGCAGGTCGTTCTTTTGTGCCGAGTTGCCTTCGCAAAACTCTTGCTCGACAATGTCACTGATATCAAACGACTCGCCGTCTTGCACGTATGAATAGCGCATCTTGTCTCCAGCGTCATACCTGGAGCTGCGGATCATGGCGTTTCCGGGTAGAAGAACATCCACGCCACGCAGGGAGTTCATCTGGGCCGAAAGAATGGCCTTCTGATTCGCTCGCGATGCGGCGCGCTGTGCTGCAATGATCTCTTGTCTTGACAGCTGCCTCGGTTTAACTTCCTCGGTACCCGAAGTCTGATTATCAGAGCTGAGACTAGAGCCAGAAACTGAATCACGGTAATGTTGAAGGGCGATTTCATCAAGGGGCGCGGACATGCGATGACGAGACGATGATGTTCGATAGGAGATTGCTCGGCGGAGAATGAAGACAGGATCATCGACATGAATATCATCTATGCTTCCAAGCAGTTGAGCAGAATCGATAGATCTGCGCTTGCCTTCTTGAGCTCGGCGGAAACTGGGAGGACGAGTGTATGCATCGGTAACTTTACTTGAAGGCGATAGTTCTCGTTCTGGACCAACGAAGTCAGCACTCAAATCCATTTATGCCAAGTGTATGTGTATTCTTACCTTGCCCTCCAACGTCAGCTGTGAGACCATATCGGACTTTGCTGGTACTCCGCCTCTTCGTCATCTTATCTTCAACTTCGTCACCACCATCAACGACACCTTCCAAGATGCCGAAACGCTCAAGTCCCAGTTCAATTACTTCAGCAACAGTGACATTCTTGGGGAAGGTGAAGACTTTTCGGCGCTGACCCTGTGATATACCAGAAGAAATTGATGATGTAGAATGGGTTCTATCACGTAGCGTGTTCTTGAATACGATAGCTTCTGTGACTGGGTCGAAGACCATATCATCGGGCAGGTCCTCGGGATGGATAACAAGTTGCAACGTGAAGCGGTACGAGGGAGAGCTGAAACGATCAGGAGTCACGTTGACACTGCTCACCGAGGTATTTAGACCCTCGGCTACATCATGAGACGTATTAGCCTGCACTGTCTCATCACCTTCTTCTGTCGTGGCGCTGTCATCTGCACCATCACGACGTCTGTTGAGGTAGAATTTGACAACGGAGTCGTCACTGAAGTCGTTCATGGATAACTTCTTTATGGCGGGATGCATGGAGAGGTTGCTTGAGATGGAGCTAATACTGCCCACACTGCTCCGCTTGACTTTTGGTAATTCCATGGCGGCCTCTACAAGCGACTCGAAGACTCCGAGAGGCTTTTCTTCCGGAAGCAGATCTGCAGATGAACCCTCGACCTGTTTGATAGTGAGGTAGTAATCTGCTCCGTCCTCGCCAGCGGGGAGACGGAAGCGTTGAATGGCTTGACGAATGAGGTCGGCTGAAGTAGTAGATGCGTTGAGAAGAACAGTCTTGAAAGTCGCCTCGGTCTGCAAGTGTTGGCCTGCAAACACACGGATGACGCTGAGCTCAGGTACACCAACACCTTGTCCGTCGGCAGTGGGCGAAAGAACGAGGGAGCCGGGTCGTGGTCTAGAGGAGGGCAAGCCCAGCCCAAGCCCAGCGGCAGAGGTGGCAGAGGTATTATATGAACTCGAGCTTGATAACACAGCGGAAGCAGATTGTAATCCGTATGAAGGCGCTTCCGGTGGCGATGACGGCGAACGATTGAGATATTGCTGATACAGTGCCTGTTGTTGCTGATCCCGCTGGCGTAGCTGTGACGCATGCTGCGACACCTGAGCCTGTACTTGTTGTGGCGGTGTCTGAGGCGTCTGCTGTGACTGAAGTCTCGTTGGCGTCCTCGAATCGTTTGGCGTGCGAAGAACTTGCTGTTGTTGTTGCATGGCTGATGCAGTGACAGGGGACATCGGAGGTTCAGATGCGGGTCCGTGAAGGTTGCTGGAGGACCGTCCTGATTCTTGAGACCCGCGGGTTTCATTGGAAGCCGTTTCGATGGAATTTTTATCCTTGCCTTTATCCTTCTTGCGGCCAAAGAGTCCGAATACACCTCCTTTCTTTTTCTCCTTTTTCTCCTTTGCTTCATCATCTGTCGTGTCGCGTTGCTCTTTGCGAAGCTTACCAGACGCCTGCACAGGCTTCTGGACTGGGGTATTCGAGATGGGCTGTAGAGACTTGTTCTTGAGCTTCTTTTTCGAAGCTTCCTCGAGAACTTCAATTTCCTCGCGGGTGCGTTGCCGCTCGACCTCTTGCTTCTGCATGATTGCGCTCGGAAGAAGGGGGCCGCTCGGTGCTGAAGCTTGTTTGACTGGCTCATCACGAGCAATTGAAGGCGTCACGGAGAGTTTTCTTGTTTCGGTTACTTCGGCGGGATCAATGCTCTTACTAGATGAGGGCGGTGAAGACGAACGGACATCAACAGTGATACAATCGCGTGAAGATTGATGGCGCAAAGCTTGTTGAGCAAGTGCCTGTTGTTCCTCCTGCTGCCTCTGTTCGGTTATTATTATCTCTGGCTGCTGTTGTACCTGGCTTTGCGCCTGTTGTCTCTCAGGTGTACCGCTAGGTCGCAGAGTATCAGGCGCCACAAGCATCTGTTGCTCTATCTTCTTCTGCGCGTTTTGTGCTTGCATGTCCTCTGCAACGCTATCATCCCAGCTCATTCCGTCATCCGGCTCCATCTGCATGCCCATAGAATCCTGCTGCTCATCGCGGCCCATCTGACCTTGGCGCTGTCGAACAAGCATGTCTTCTGCAAGGTCTGGGTCTTCTTCCTCATATGCACCGTCATCCCACTCTATGTCTTCCTCTTCTTCCTCTTCCTCATGCCAGACAGCAGGCGGATATCGGTGTACAGACCGTGCAGTTGTAAACGTGACACCTTTGCCTTGCCCAGCACCTGTGGGTGGAAAACCAGGGGTAGGAGAAGGAGAGTGGTGCGAGCCAGCGCGAGAAGAAAGATTGTTCCGCACGCGTTCGACGTCTTCTTGGAGTTCTTGTGGTGTCGCGTGTGCAAGCTGAGAAGGAAAGTCACGAGTTTGAAATTGTTGGATGGTGCAGGACTCACGTCCACATTCCTGTGCTTGTTCAACCTGGCCAAGCGTTCAAAAGGCGTCTCAATATTCTCTGCAGGAATATATCCGACGTCCTGTGTCTTGAGCACACGAACAAGCCACCAATAACTGTTACTGTCGTCCATAAGGAATAAGCTATCGCCTTTTACAACGCTGGCTTGACCTTCGACGGTCGCAGCGAAGCTGTGCAGCGAGTAGACCAAATCAAAGTCGATAGATTCATTTGGAATAGAAAGTGAAGACGAACGGTCGTCGTCTTCGTCCATATATTCTATCTCGCGCTCTTCGCCATCAGAGTCATCTTCTAGAACAGAATGCTCTTCATCAGAAGCGCCTGCATAGGTATTGGTTGCATCTGCATGGGCGTGCATATGTGCAGATGCTGTAGGGTCGTCGGCCATAATTTGGTCACGAAGGTCGAAAGTGTCCTGGCGCTTCGGTGAACGTCGTTGGTGGTCTTGTGTTTGCATATTGTACGTGATTATTTAACGAAATATTGGCCTGAGAGGATGAAGATTCTATAAGAGTACAATCCAAGAAAGCTGTCAAAACATGAGAAACGAAAGGCGGTCGGTGTGCAGGTAAGAAGAAACAAGTTTTGCAGGCGACAAAGGAATGCCAATAATGATGGTGTTCGATTCAGACGCGTGTTCAGCGTTGTCCTGGTGAACGTTGATGGCGTTGAACTACTTTAGTGGCTGTGCAAATTTTCTATTCCCAGAGTCAACTTCGCTGTTGCATGACTCTATCATTAATACTCACAGCTAATAGTAGTAGTAACTACTACTGGTGGGATCACTGCTGCAACAAACCGTGATTTACACAGGTACTAAGCCTACTGATACTCATCCTCGTGGCTGCGGAATTTACGAGACGAAGCTTATGCCGATTCCGGCTCACAGATGGATGGGTCGTTGAATCACTGAAATACAAAGAGTGGCTGAGAGCACAGGGTGTATCATGAGGCATGCGTTAGTTCCTATCAGATCGAGATGCTCATCATTTTCTTTCGACTTAGCTGTTCTGTGGAGTCCATCTAGCAACCAACAATGATGGTGAGTCTGTGTGTACAATCAAGTTATACCACGCACATGCATGTAACAAATACTTGTTCATGCAGCCACAACGTCCTTATAATATACGAGGATCCTACCATACGTGAATGGGGTACAAAAACCTCGGAGAAGGTCGGTGATCCCTGGACGGGCCACACTAACCGAATCAATGCTATTGCCATTCATCCGAGTCCTGCTGGCACACTCGTCGCATCCGCATCTAGTGACAACCATATTCATCTCTGGCGGCTATCAGATCCACAAACCGGTGCCACCTCCATGCACTCTATCCCACGCGATGCATCACTTTCTCCGTGGACGGCAATCACATCTTCAGCGGAGGTGAATATAACATCTCGGAGTGGACAGTACCTCAAGGTATACATCCAAAGGTATGTTTCTGTCTCTGACTCATATACCACAAATCGAGTATGCTTCTTGCAGACTATGGCCACCACAACAGTCCGCGATGCATGCATAGATGGAGACTTATCTACTGACGAAGAACTACACATGCAAGATATCAACAGCGATGCGAACAACCATACTCCCTACGTCCATCGCTCAAAGGCATGTTTCCATCATTGACTCATATATACCACAATTCGAGCATGTTTTGTGCAGATCCTAGCCATCACACCCGCCCGTATTGCATGTGTAAACGGTGACTTATCTACCGCCGAAGACCTACTCACCCAAGATATCAACACCAATCCAAACGACCATACTTCCTACGCCCATCGTTCATTTGTTATGGGGCGAAAACATCACTGGGACCGCGCCCTTCTGGATGCAATCAAGGTGAGAATAATCGCCGCCTTATACAGGGCTAACTCGACGGTGACATAGTCCATCAGGATTCAACCCTCATTGACGGGCTATATCTCCAAGGGTATTGCCCTCTGTGGAAAAGGCCGCGTCCTGGATGCGAGGGCAGCATTTGATGTTGCATCCATGTACACAGACCAGGATTCAGAAATCACTCATTTTCTGCTATTGATCAAGGTATGGTATGTTACATTTGCCTCGTATACTCTTTCCCTCATCGCGTATTTCAGGCCATCGCGCTCTTCAATGCAGAGCAACATGACGAGGCAAGCCTGCTTCTCAAAGAGCTCGCTGCCGGTTGTCCGAATACTGATACTCTCGCATGTGATATCGTGCAAGTAAGTATCATCCATGCTTGGTCATCAACCCTCATCTTTACAACTTGGACATTAGGCATATCTACACGTTCAATTCGGAATCAAGGCCTTGGATAGCGCACGCCACGACGAAGCTGCCGACCATTTCACTGCCGCCCTCGACTCCCGCGATTCATCATCGAAATCGAACATTCATGAAATATATGAGGATTTAGTGGTGGTACGTCAAGATGATGCATGTATAACACTTCTCATAACTGAATCCCTTGTCCAGCTCTTTGGCTGGGACCTGAAATCGTTGTGGCAAAAGGAAGGCACACCATAAACGGTGTAATGCACTCCTTCGGGCGGGTAAACTCCAAGAGGCCATGAAATCATACCAACACATGATGACTTCAAGAGACGAAATTACAAATGCCGACTGCCTCGATTGGTCCAACGGCGAGTCTAGAGCCCGTAATGCCGCGCAGGCAACAATACTCACCTGTACTCCTCTCAGATTTCAAACAGGAATGCAGCACACTCTGCCCTGCCAACGGAGAGGCTGCCTTCGCTGCAAGCGATTACGATAAGGCTATCGACCTACACTCCATGGCGGTTGACCTGGATTTTGCATCCGATATCTTCTTTGCGAGTTGCAGCGAGGCAAAGTTAAGTAAAATGCTATGGGAGGATGCGCTCCTCGACACGCAAAAGGTGCGATGGCATTTACGTTTTCGTACCCCATGCTGACTTCGGCGCTGCATAGGTCATTGAACTCAATCCTTCGTCTCACATTGGATACCTGTTGACGCACACAGCGCTGCATGGTGCCCGATGCTACGATGAAGCCATCGAGGTTTTCATGTTGTCCAAGTTGGACGATGCTCCAGAAGCTCAGATACGAGGTAAGCCATGGAACACTCCTGTATCGTCTCGAAAAGCCTATCTCGTTCTGCAGATCTGCGTCAGCAGTACGTCCGTCCATCTGAAGTAGAAGACGCTATTCAAAGAGTAGTTGGGATTGAACTCAGCAACGCCCCCCTTCGTCTGCTCAACACCTCTACGGGTCTTTTGTGCGACAGAGCAGCACAGCTTAACTTCTTCAAAACAAGTACAGACTACAAGGAGCTTTTGTCATTTATGACGAAGCGTTCGGATCTCCAAATGGAGCACATCAAGGAAGTAGTAGCGATGCACTTCCGTTGCGTCATGCTATCACATAACTGGGCGGAAACGGAGGCGCTACTGCACGACATCCAGGACAAAATTGTGTACGAGCTGGATGGACTTGGTCCTACCGCAAAACTGCAGTCGTTCTGCAAAATCGCTCGTGATGCGGGGTATCTCTGGGCGTGGATGGACGCATGCTGCATCGATAAGAGCAACAACATGGAGTGTCAAGACTCTGTCAACTCCATGTTCATCTGGTACCGCCGTTCAGCGCTCACCATCGTCTACCTATCCGATGTCTCTCCTTCATCCCCACCCGGGGCATTGGTAAGGAGTGTTTGGAACGAGCGAGGATGGACCCTTCAAGAATTAATCGCTTCGAAAGTCGTTATATTTTATCAGAAGGATTGGTCGTTATATCTCGACGATCACTCTCCTAATCACAAAGAGTCCCCAGCAATCATGAAGGAGTTGGAGAGTGCGACAGGAATAGGTGCTCGGGCCCTGATCTCTTTTCGTCCAGGGATGAGAGGCGCTCGAGAGAAACTGCAATGGGCATCGAAACGTGTCACCACGATGCAGGAAGACATTGCGTACTCGTTGTTTGGTATCTTCGGCATCTACCTACCCGCGATCTATGGTGAGAAGAAGCAAAATGCGCTCGGACGGCTCCTGCAGGAGATTGTGGCTAGATCGGGCGATATCACTTCCCTGGACTGGGTCGGACAATCGTCCGAGTTCAATAGTTGCCTTCCAGCCGACATTATCTCGTATGCAGCCCCGCCATGCGCCCCGCCATCGTTGTCTGAAGATGAGATTCAGACAGCGGTCTCATCGTTGCGAAACATTGTGGCTATGAATTTAGCTTCGAAGGTGTATGACCTGCTCGAGAATATGAATGCTCCCGTCTTCGCAAACTGCAGACTCCGTCTTCCTTGCATCGCATTCCGTGTCACGGAAGTTAAACGGAGGCGGGGTCTTGCTGCTACGTATGGAGTGAAAGCAGATGGGCTTCGGGACTTGCTGATCACCACGGACGAGACCCTAATTCAATTCTCGCGTGCAAGGCCCACTCAGCAGACGTTCTTTCTTATCCGTCCATGGGATCGTGGTCTCCTTGGGCTGGCTGATTTTGCAGAGCAGCTCACCTTTTCGGACGAAGGGGAGAGCGTAGGGGATTGGTCCGAGTCCGAGCCTGGACCAGACGACACTGACGAGCCATCCAGCGACTCACCTGGAGAAGATGAATTGCCAATTGACCCGGAAGCTCACTCACGATCATTGCGTTTGATGGTTCGCCTTGGGCAGGCTTTCAGCGCACTTTTGGTAGCGCAGCAACGCGTTGGAGAATACAAGAGGGTCGCTTCGGACCACAATATCATTGCGCAGGTCAAAGACACGGCTTCGATTGACGTTATGAACATTAGGACCCTAGACATATTGTAGCTGTATGGTTTTTCTTAACAGGGATCTCCGAGCAGTTTGCGTATGCACCTTGAGTCGACGATCACATCATAGATCATACACACCCTGTAAATAACATCATATAACTTGCAAATACAAAATCTCAAAATTTGACATGCATACGGGGTTGAGTGCCTGCGGACTTAGTTAACATAGGCGTTCCGATCACCGTCAGACGTGAATTACAGTAATAGATGTTACACTACGTTCGCCGTCGTCTTTTCCTCCTCATTCTCTATTGCAAATAGCGCTCGAATGTCTGAATCTCTCCAGTCTGAGGGACCTCGACCTCGATGAAAAGCAGTGATGCGGACTCGCGCGTTTGAAAGTGTCTCGGTGGTCGTTAGTATATCTCTCAAACCCCGCACATTCTCTCTTCGCTAGGACTATTATATATTTGTCTCCAATAGATGTGCGTATGTCAAAATTCTATTTAGTTTACAACGAGCTCACAAAAGATTTAGTACTATCTTCGTTTAGGTACTTGTCACATAGTAAAACTAGTTCTATCAAAGATACTGAGATTACTATCTTTGTTTAGCGTCCCTCCCGCTTTTCATACATCACGCCAGACTATGCCCCCTGCGACTAGATGCAGAATCGTCGTGGGACGAGCGAGAGGATAGACGTTGAAACCGCTGAGGGCCATGCGAACGCAAGTAGCGCAGCAAAGGACCAAACAGATCACACAAAACGCGCAGAGGGAACCGCATATTGCATAGACGCAAGACAAAACGCATATCATAACACCCATTACATAGATGACAACACAGTAGACACAAAAAACGCCAGTAGGATACCGTTAACACGAGAGAGAACACAAGGAAGGAAGATCAGTGATTGTTCATCAGAAAAAATGCAAAGGACTAACCTTTAAGTCGAAATCATGGTCAATGCGCACACGCTCTGCGTGATAGATGCGATCGAAACACCGAGAAATCTCCGTCTCATCGAGAATGGAAATGTTCCAGGCTCCAGCCGGTTGCAAAATGGCCTGATGCCAAGCTCGGCGTTGCTCCTCTTGATACACGAGAAGGGCCCGCTGCTCGAATTGATTGTCCGATGTCCAGTAGTGGTGCAGCATCAGCCCCCCGAAAAATTGTGCCAACATGCGAACGCGTGAAGCAACCCAGCCTCGCTGTTCAAGCGAGGCAATGAAACGAGGAACAGCCCTCGAGAAGTCGAGGGGAGTGAGGAGATGGTCTGCGATGACACCGGCTGCGGTACAGACAGTGGAGCCGTCTGCTGCGGCAGCGGGTAACATGGTGTCATCGTCGAAGGTGTGAAAGGCTGAACGAGCATTTGAAAGACCTTTGTTAGTCCAGTAATACAGCTCGACAAACTGGGCTTTGTCGAGCTTGCGCAAGGCATAGTCCGCAACAAGGATGGATTCGGCTGCACGAGTGGGACGAGGACGATCAGGAATGGGGATGTGGTGGATCCAGTTCTTCTTCCTCTCTTCTTCGGTAAAGAGAGCATCTTGGACTTTTTGAGCCGCGAGACGCTGGGCTTCATCTTCAGTGAGGAGACGCTGCTGTTCGGCGACATCTCGGGCGTCAGAGTCTAGCTGGCGCTGCCACTGTTTAGTGAGAACCGTGTTGGTGGCTAGCCAGATAGTGCGAAGCATGGCAGCCGCTTGAGCGTCGTCGATGGTGGGACTCAGGAGAGGTGCACGACTGGTATTGAAAATGACAGAGGTAAAATCTGGACATTGCGCCAGGGTAGGGTCCGCAAGTAACCGAGTCATGACCGAAGTGAGGAATACCAAGTACGACGAGTGTTTTATTTAAGATTTAGCTTCGATGAAGAGCTAAGGTTGCTGAGACGAGGCTTTTCGAATGGGAGGCGCTAACGCCAAGATGGTGGTAGCGAGAAGGAAGATTCGAAATCAACAAGCTTATTTGGTCCCCACATATAGACTCAATTTTATGATATGCGCCGAACACGTGAAAATCACTTCTAGTATTGCACTGGAATGTATCCCCAGCCTTCGAGATCTGAGCCTTCCCAGCTGTCCACGTTCAAGCCCACTCGTGATATTAACGTTTATGATCTCTCCGCGGATGAAGCCAGTACCACGGGCTTGCAAAACGAGACTTCGGTGCTTTCCATCGACCAGGAGGAGACACTCGCGCTTCTAGGGATATTTACTCTTACGGTTTTGAAGGGATCTGTTTCTATACTCGGTGTAACGTTATCCGCCTCAAAGACAGTTCACCATGTGTTCGCCCCTCGTTCTGCTCCGATCCCCATTTTGCAATGCGCCTCATCGAACGTACACACCGACTTAAACATATATCCTCTTCCTCCTCGCGTGAGACAGAATCACGGCGGAGCTGTAGTGGCAATTCGATCGCTCGATACGGGAGTGGAGGGTCTCGGACGTGTATGTCGCGTCTTTGATGGAGTTTTCGAACCTTCGCGTTGGCACCGGAGCTCGGCAGAAGTTATACGGCCTGGCGTGCACTTGGTACGTGTGCTGTATTTGAATGTATGTAAAGTATTGTTTATCCTATCATACAGATGACGCACAGCGACAGGGATGTGCTACCGTTCGTATTGCCAGAATCGTGGAGTATTGCCCTGAGCGCGGCAGAGACGCCACCATCTCCCATACCACTCCCCGTTTATGTTGTCAAGGGTCCGAAAAAGTCCGGAAAGAGTACATTTGCTCGGACGCTCTTGAACAGGCTTCTAACAAGGTATGTTTGGAATTCAATACATATGAACATCGCTAACAGTACTTTATAGATTTCAGCGCGTCGCATATCTTGAATGCGACGTAGGGCAGTCCGAATTTACACCTGGGGGGTTGGTCGCCTTAAATATCATAGACAAACCGGTATTCGGTGAGTGATCACTTCATCAACCTATTAGCGCCCCTCAAATATCTTGGTATTTTAGGCCCGCCTTTTACACATCCCAGTCTTCCATACCGAGCGCACTACGTTGGAGCGACTTCACCACGGTGCAGTCCGGCACACTATCTTGCGGCCGTTCAAGCGCTCCTCGAAACGTACAAGTTCGAGATTCAAACTTCGATGCCTGATGACGAGTCGATCGACACGCGGGTCACCGACATTATTCCCCTGGTGGTCAATACAATGGGGTGGACGAAGGGTCTTGGGGCTGACCTAAATTCCAAGATCGAAGAACTCACCGAGGCTACTCATGTATTTGAGGTCGTCGGTCCAGAAGAGAAAGGTTGGCCAACGGCCTCATCAGCCTGTGACATTCTCCAGTCTGCACCGACCAAGGCGCTCCAGCATACTCTCGAAGCAATATCACCAAATTTAGCAAATGCGCATTTTAATGCCGTCGACCAGCGCAACTTGAACATCCTGTCTTATTTCTATGCTATCTTTCCATCTATTACATCGATGTCGTTTCCATATCCATCCGCTCCTCTTCGTCAAATGACAGCAACCAAATGGGAGACCTCTCATCCTCTCTGTGCCCAGTATCCGTACGAGGTGGACTGGAGTCGGGCATTTGACCAAGTCATCCTTATTGGTGCAGGCTACGAGGACGTGATTCCCTCTGAGATCTCCAACGTCTTAAATGGCGCGATCGTTGGTCTTGTCGAATGCGAACCTGGAACCGAAGATCCAGTGTATCTAGACCCGTCTGGCGCCCGAGAATTGCCATACGTCCAAGCCAGACATCCGCCCGTACCCTCGACCTCCACTTGCCATGGCCTCGCTCTCATTCGTGCCATCTCGCCTAGCTCATCGCACATGCATATACTCACCCCGGTTTCGCCCGCTATCCTTGCACGCTGTCGGGTGATCGTCAAGGGTGAGCTAGAGCTGCCTATCTGGGGAATGCTGGATTTCACGGACGCAAATGAAGGGGTCGCAGGTGTGGAGAAGGGCCGCGTGCCATATTTGCAGTGGGGTAAGAGTGAAGGCTTGGGCGGCGAGCGTAGGAGGGTGAGGAGAAATCTCATGCGAAAAGCCCAGATGTGAGGTAAACAAACAAAGGTATATTACACTCATTTCCGAAAGTCTTGACTCACGTGTTTGTGGCGGTTCAAAAATAGTGAAAATGCTGAAAATTCATTTAAATCAGTTTCGAGTTTTGTAGGCCTCTGAATGGCTTCAAAGTTCAAACACACCATCTCGCACCTATTTCCTACTCAGACTCGCTATGGTCAACCAGAGGATCAGTCCTGACCGAAAAAATGAGCTTTGTACCTGCATTTGGAGGAAGGATGGGAAATCGAGCACATATAGTTGCTCTTGGTGTATTGGCAAAAAGTATAGAGCGGTGGGAGGCAAATTATGATCTACATCGATGTATTAACCCTCACACACCAATCATGGGTGCGCCCTTGATTTCCGGATCAATTTAAACTGTTAAAGAGTCTGGACTCTGCATGTTGCTAGCCAAAAACCTGTCACTGACGTTCGAACTGTCGATGTATCTTGTTGCTCACGCTGTTTCCAGTGAAGAAGTGGCTTCGACAGCATCAGAGATCTCCGACTATGATAGTGGGCGGCGCCAATTCCCTAACCAGGACCTTCGTGAACCTTGCAGCTTCAAGTTCCTTGCTGTAAATGTAGGAAATGCTCCAGGCTAGTATAGGCATAGTGACTATCTGTAACAATAACATGTAGAGTGGAATAGCTAGTGGCTGTATTTGATGTATGGAGCTGAATATAATCTACAAACGTGAACAGTAGTCACTGAATGTGCAAAGAAACGGCGTGGTTATAATCACTTTGTCGAGTTCGTTCCTGAGAAGACCTAGATGAAAGGGCTTGCCACCGTGACTTGCTGGCGGCATCCATCCAAAATGTGTAGAATATGCTAAGACTTACCTCCCATCGCTCTATACGTTCGATATGCTTTCAAGAACAGCAGATTTCCCATCCTTCCTCCAAATGCAGGTACAAAGCTCATTTTTTTTCGGTCAGGACTGATCCTCTGGTTGACCATAGCGAGTCTGAGTAGGAAATAGGCGCGAGATGGTGTGTTTGAAGCCATTCAGAGGCCTACAAAACTCGAAACTGATTTAAATGAATTTTCAGCATTTTCACTATTTTTGAACCGCCACGTGCAAACACGTGAATCACGACTTTCGGAAAGGAATGTATCAGGTACAGCCAGCATTACAACAACTATTTTACATCACTCAAACACGATGACTACGTCCGGACCTTTGGTATTCAACCATCGCTTCCAAAGTTCGCTATATTTTGACGACCAAGGCCGGCGTAGCACTTGCTCGTCTGACAGAAGGCGCGCAATCCGCTGCATTTCTTTCAGGTCTCTGTGAGAGTAATACTTCATGCGCACAACCGCTTGGGCAAGCGTCGGGTGATACTTTGATCCCAAACACCAAGCAGGCATCACTTCTTCTGAGCAGCAATGTCAGACGGAGGACTCACCGATCCCCGAAACACCATCCTATGCCACTTGCAAAACGTTTTGGCTGGTAGAGAAAATTCACTGCTTCCTTCGTCGAGGTGCTGTACATCGCGGTATTGAGGTAGAAGACGTGGTGTATAATACGTCACGAGAGGTATCTCAGACGTCTCTTGCGGCGGCCGGCGAGCACTAGACTGTGCAAGGTGGCGTCGGTAACGAGCAGCAATGCACCAATATTTCGCTTCCGCTTCTAGCGTGGGGAATGTTCCGCACCGCGAACGTGCAGGGAATGGAAATAGTAAGAGGCGGACACGAAGACACGTAGAGGAGAGTGCGTGATAGAGTCTGTCCATGAGGGTCCTGTTGAAACCTCGGAGTAGGCGCCTCCCAAGGTGAGTCGCGCAGAGAGATCGCACCACCCATGTTGGATCGACGAGTGGGAAGCTCATTAGTAGCAAGAAAGTAACGATGGCTGGTGGCTTGAAGTAGATGATGCTCTGGGCATCGGTCAGGTCTGCATTCGTGACAAGTAGATCTGGATGTGGAGCTCACCTGCAACTGCATTTTGCGAGTTTCCTCGACGACGATTGGGTTGCAGTTCAAAGGCTTCTTGATTAGCCTTTAGACCCTATGGAGATTCGGAGTATGAGACTCGGACTGCCTTGCAAGCGTTATACGTCAGTTTTGATGGTAATAACCGGCACTTACGAGACGCCCGGATTCCCTAAGCCCATCTGCTTTGGCCATCCAACCTCGTGGCAGGCCGCGAGGCATGATGGCTTGGCAGCACTATTTGTAGGACGATCACCATGACATATCCATACAAAAGCAGGTCTGTTTCAATAATAAGAATGTGATATTTTGTACCGTTTCCATATACAGACAGGGCTTGGGGTCTGTTCAACGTTTGGTGTCTGACTGTGGACAGACTCTAGAGCAGTTTGTAGAGCGCTTGTGGAGCTAGCAGTTTTTGTTAGCACTAAAGGGGAGGTTGCATCGAGGTGAACGTCCAATTTTACATAACATTACCTGATCAAGGTCTTGCTGACCGGGTTAGCACATGATCGCAGATTATTGTCTTGTGACTGCGTTCCATTACACGTTAGGTGACGTTACCGAAACTCCAATGGGTATTTGCTAGTAAATCAGATGAAATACAAAATGTAGATACATGCGTAGCGATGTAAATGAAGATGGTATGGTTAATCACCCAGCAGCCTGTGTCCGCTCTAACATCTTATTCACCGCAACATGCCTCCCAGAAGACGCATGCGCCATATCTGACAACCTGTTCTCCCTCATCCTCGTCAAGACCTGCAGCAAGAAGGTCGGCGTAGCACCATGCGGCCTCTGTGCATCCTCCAGGTTCTCCACGGGCGTAGATACCCCGCTATGGCTCACTGCCGGTTGTGTCTGGGCCGACGCATGTCCGTAGAATGTACCTCTTGCGGAATCAACATGATCGGAATCTTCAAAGTACCGCTCCCAGAGTGTGTATAGTGAAATGATTTCTTGTGCAATAGTGGCGACCAATGGCATTGAGATGTTAAGTTCAGCAAAGAAAGCAACAAAGTCCTGTGAGGGTTTCTTTGAGTGACTCGATGATGTACTAGAATTTTGTCGCGACGATCTTCTCGGGGAACTGTGAACTGGTGTTGCTTCAACTGAATGAGACTGATGTTGGAGGAGCTCTCTAGTTGGACCGTGTAAAACAACAGCGAGATAGAGTGCGGTAATGGCGAGTAGATGGGGAGGATAAAGCAAGCAGAGATCTGAGCGATATGTATCGTTGACGATAGACCTACAATTAGAGTCAGTTATGAGACACTCCTCCTACAAATCCGCTCACCAAGCTAGCTGGAACGCATCATCTGGCAACTCGAGTTGCCCATCACCACTTCCCCAATACCGTGGCCCATCGTCCACTCCCACTCCCACTTCACCAGCCTCTGTCTGCAAGTCGTTTGAGCTCTCCTTCTTGCAAAGGGACAACAACGTGCGATAAGGATGAAAAACAGTGAGATCACATTCGAGGTCCGCAACGAGGTAGAACTCCATCTCGGCGAGTTTGGAATTATCTGAAGGAAAGTATTTCACGCCGTACGGCTGTTCTGTGCAACTTGACATCAGTATTGAAACAGATATACTTGGTGTTGAAACACACGGCTGAAGAAAAGGCGAGCCTCTGCTACCATATTTTTGATGTGCACGGGCGACTCCTCCGCCTTTCCAGCCACGTAACAGCATGCTGCGATGACGATGAATGGGTCTGTTTCGCAATACGAGTTTTTGATATAAAATCTTCGAAAGAATACAATGGCTGTCGCGATGACGCGTTGCCTGAAGTTGAGCTTTTTTCCTAGTTTTGTTATAACTAGAAAAGTTTGAACGTCAGTCCGCATTCGCATGTGTATTACACTCACCATTCGCAAAGAAGATTGCAAAGAAATCGAGGTACTCCGGATCATCCACGTATTGTAGGTCATCTGAACGAGACTCCTTCAAGGTAGCGCGGTCCACTATCCATCGTTTGCTATGATACCCACCATAAGCTGCTTATGCCTCGTGACTTTGATCCTCCTCACTAGTGCGAACTGGCCCAGAAATCAGTGGCCATATGAAATCGACAGGACACGTTTAAATCAGGATTGAACAAGGAATGCAGGAAAGTTGCAAAACCCTGCTAGAGTATTGTTGCGGAGAATAATGAGGTTGCACAACTTGAAAGTTGGAACGGTCACCGGCATCAGGAAATTGGCCGAAACTGTTATGACCAGATACATGTGACAAACAAAACATATTATTCCTAACTACATAGGCCCGAACGGCCCGAACCACTTTGATCCCTCGATGGTACTAGGAATTGCAACACTTTCGGAAATTTACGACAATGGGTCACTCGATACGCTCCTGTCCTGTTGACTCATCGGTGCTGCACAGTGTGATTCAAATTGCACACGAGTCAGGGGAGAGTCTCGTTGATTGATGTGCGTCGTGTAGGGATGCCAATATCACTGATGCCGCATCATTATTTAGCCTACGTGACCTTGTAGTACGTAGAACAATACGGTATAGAAAAAAACAAAAGCGACAAATCCATTAATGCGCCCTCGGGAGCATTTTGATGGGCCGCTTTACGACACGGGTCGGCCGCCGCATCACCCTCACCCAAAGTTTGAAACATTGATGCCTTCACATATAAAGAAGAAAATACAAGGAATGACCGACTTCCTTCTATCAAGGTCTGAGGCCCGGCCACTTCAAGGCAGACCAGCTAGTTGATTTAACATCCACTGCACTCATTTGGTATGTCGAGGACTCAGTGTGTATCGTGTCGATCGAATGCTTGCTGTTGCGTGCCGACAACTGCAATCCCCCCCTCGGTGGACTGGAAGGCTCGTTCGAAAAATGTTTCAAAAAACGCGCGCAATGGATTGTTTGCGCCACGCGCATGTTATATCATGCATGGCATGCTGGTCATGATCCACGTTGTCCTTCTTTTCTTTTATGTCCGTCACTGGGAACACCATGTAACTTTCGCTTTCACACCAACAAACAATGATTTCTGGCCTGTGGTGCTTAGTGCTTCACTGCAAGCGTTTTATACCGTACGTATCCAGTGTCCACTGGTATCCTAACGATACACCAATGACATGACTTGATCCAGATATACACGGCTATTCTGCTCTTCCTTACCCAACGGCTTGCGATTTCGAGAACACTCGTACGCCATGCAAAACTGACCGCCGTTCATGACATCTCTGGCGCATGGGCGGGTCTCGGTTCTGCACTCACTAGTGTCTGGCGACAAACTGACATCCCCGCTTCATGGTGGACGACTTCCGCTGTGGCAGCCTACCTTGCGAGCATAACCGTGCTGCATGTCACCTCTTCTACTCTCCTACAATTTCAAACCTTCAATGCTTCTATGACGACTTCGGTGCCCACAACACTAGGATGGCTAGACGATTCGTCGTATAGCTATTTAACAGACCTAGGACCCATTACCACATCCCTACCAGTTGTCAATCATTTGACTGGACTCGTGTCCGCAGGGTTGTCCAACACCACACTCTACGACACCCTCAAAACAACCGCTATAGCAGGGAATGCGACTGTGAACGCAACGACGGTAGCCTCGAGTTGCGGGTTGGTTCCAAATGTCACATACTCTGCGAATACCAGCACAGCGATCGTTCCGTTTGGGCCAGTTGCCACTCGCGTGCTTAATGCGAGCACTCTCTGTCAGTGGTTGTGATTGCGGTGATGTTTTATCACGCTGACAGTATCTACAGGGTCAGATCAGATACATATAATTCCATGGATGGAATATGAGGATTCTTACGGTGGCGTCTCGAAGGTCAGCGTTCTCTTAGTTCACGCCCACCATAGAAGTTGAATAACAATTTGACTCCAGCTTCCTGGTGTCTATCTTATGGTCTCCACATTATTGGGGATCGACCCTTCAGTACAAGATGAAGTTGCTGTGAACATGACTTGGGGTACGTTTGCTTATTTGTAATACAGTCATGATAACAATACGTTCTGCAGCTATCCCTGACATTGCCACTCCATACGTCATCCAGGTCTATTTCGTATATTGCTCGCTGTCAGCGAACACTACAGATGGGATAGTCAACATGCAAACCAACAGCCTACTGAGTCCTACGTCCATATCGCAGCCATCCTCGCAATGGGAAATGTATCAATTCGGGTGGTCGAATACTAGTTGGCAAACACAGGTGCGTTATACGGCGCTCACTTCGAGCTCAATGACATACTGTCAATTTTAGATCGGCAGTGCTTTGGCTACCCCGGATAGCAGCAGCGGGGTTATATTTGATGGTACACCTTCCCAAATCACTGAACTCTCTGTTGCGGACGAGTAGGCCAAAAACTTTGACTGCACTGTTAAAATGTCTCACGTACGGCTTGACTTCTAGGTATGTCATGTCGTTGGTAGGCTTGAATCTCACTGAGGAATATACACAATTCCGAGATGGTGCTCCTCCGATTTCCAATTTCACGTTGAGACCGGATGAACTAGAATTCGCGGTTGCGAGAGCAGCTGCACAACTCATCTGGCTGGGTAAGGGATACGTTTGACGTTTTTAAACTCTCGCTCATTCTGTGCCACATGCTTAGCCGGACAAATGGGTACAGCCAATGGAGGAATTGACCCTGGCAACGGGACAGCCTATGTTAACGAGCAGTTCATTGCCCTACGCCTCAACGTAAGTGAACTGCGCAGATGTTGTTTTTAAATAACTAATGGAGCATTGTAGATCAACCTTCTTCCTGTGAGTTCGTGGTAATATCTATGCGATGACTATTCATCGAAAATGGTTCTAGTTGGCTTTCGCAGCGTCTGCATCGGTGATAATGTTGGGACTGGCGCTACATATGACAAGAGCATTTCATGCATCGCACGACAGTCAGGCTGCTATCCCAAACATAGGTGTGCTGCAACTCTTGTGGTTGGGTCATCGTTCAGCCTCTATCAACGAAGTCCTGGAAGATGTGCAACATCCGACAGAGGCCAATCTGCGGCGAGCGGGCATGATAGATGTCTGTCTTACGAAAACAATATCTGATAAAGAAGAGTTTGGGAGTCCAACAGATAGTCTCTCCTGGTGCAGTCGACTACCATCATGACGATGATATATGATTTGGGTTCGATAATAGGAGGCTGGCGAGCTCCTGCTTATTGATGTTGGAGGAGTTTCAACGCGACGCACGTGCCCGTCTGTTCGAAGGGGTATCATCATCCCGTA